AGTAATTAATTATAAATATTCATAAATAAAATTGTTGGGTCCATAATAATAATAATTGGTTGAGTGACCTCGAATGACTATGCTTTAAGCTCAATTCGTGGCCAAGACATATAACTAGCTCATGTCTCCCACCCTGGCGTGATTTATGAAAATGATGGTAAAATCAGGGTGAAACTGACATTATCAAATCTATTTTAACCATAAATGACCATCCTACCTGGACTCGACTTGACGAATCTTGACTCACTTGTTTGACCGAGTCAAACAGTTGAAGCCAATTTGACAAATTTTCTCATCGTATTTCAAATGATGTCTCCCGGAATCAATGTAAAAGTCATAATAATTACTATTCTTAGTATCATAATAATAATAAGTATTATTGTAGAATAATGATTACGTGACATTTTTAGTCACAACAATCATAAAAGATAACAATATATATATATATATATTAATTTTATCTTTTATTTTTCCATTGTTTCTCTCTCCATTTGTTCCCCAAATTGGGAGGGGGGGGGGGGTTAGTGAGAATATTGGATTAGCTCTTTAATTGCACCCACTATTCATAATTATCCAAATGAGGGCAAATGCTTTGGAAAATGCATTACCCCCACCCCCCCACAACTTGCTCCCCTCCCCATTAAAAGACCACTCAATGAGGAGATGATAAGTACATCAAAGAATGATGTTCGCTACCTTCTTCACATTCAGCAGAGGATGCTTGCTAATATGAACCCAAAATCCTTGTCCCTAATTTTTTTTCGAGGGAAACTTCATTGTCTCTGCTACTGCATTGATTCTCTTCCACAACTACCTACAATAACAGGTTTGTTGCTAGTGTTTGATTATGGTTAGCTGTTTTATATGAACTCTTTCTAATTAAGTTTTAACTTATATAGGGTTAGGAGCTGCTGCTGGTGAGTTCGCCAATGATGAAATCATCGAAATTGTCAATTTCTCGCAATAAAAGATGGGATCGCTGTTCGGAAAAAGGGAGTCGTATTTCAGGATATAAGGAAACAGTGTCATACTTACATTTTCACATGCCAACACAACACAGTCTAAATGATAAGGTGATTTCCAATAATGAATGTCATAATATACAAAAACTTTACAATAGATTTGAGTGTGATCCAAGAATATAACACCATTGATTTCCTCTGTAGGTTGTGATCATTGGATCAAGGAATCACATGCTTACAGCAGTAGCAGTCATAAGAGGAAGAATTCCCCGCTAGCTACCAGCAACTGCTCATCGTCTTATTGACTGACTTTACATCCATATCAGTCTCATCGTACTAGTCTTTGGCTCTATAGTTGTTGCTGTCTCCCAAGTCTTCAGTATCTGGTCCACCACTTAAGACCTCGCACACTTGTAGTTACTACTGCAATTGGCAAAGAGGAATACAAACATTATCTAAGGATGGTTAGGGGAACACTGTGTTTGGCAACTAGGGGGGTGCAAATTCGAGGGGGTACAAGTTGAGGGATGAATTGCTGGGGGGTTGAAGTGGAGGGGTAAATTGTCGTTTGGATGAAAAAGTAGGGGGTGCAAATGAGTGAAAAGTAAGTCAATTATATTATTATAAATAAATATATTAAATTTTTAAAATATTGTTATAAAATATTCACACATAAATAAATATGAAATAAAAAAATTAATATTTATAAATATAATTTAATAAAATAATGTTAAAATATTAATGCTCAAGTAGTAATTAATTATAAATATTCATAAACAAAATTGTTGGGTCCATAATAATAATAATTGGTTGAGTGACTTCGAATGACTATGCTTTAAGCTCAATTCGTGGCCAAGACATATAACTAGCTCATGTCGCCCACCCGGGCATGATTTATCAAAATGATGGTTAAATCAGGGTGAAACGGACATTATCAAATCGATTCTAACCATAAATGACCATCCTATCTCGACTCGACTTGACGAATCTTGACTCACTTGTTTAACCGAGTCAAACAGTTGAAGCCAATTTGACAAACTTTCTCATCGTATATCAAATGATGTCTCCCGGAATCAATGTAAAAATGATAATAATTATTATTCTTAGTATCATAATAATAATAATAATAAGTATTATTGTAGAATAATGATTACATGATATTTTTAGTCACAACAATCATAAAACATAACAATATATATATTAATTTTATCTTTTATGTTTCCACTATTTCTCTCTCCATTTGTGCCCCAAATTGGAGGGGGGATAATGAGAATATTGGATTAGCCCCTTAATTGCACCCCCTACACTATTCATAATTATCCAAATGAGGGCAAATGCATTGGAAAATGCATTACCCCCACCCCCACAACTTGCTCCCCTCCCATCAAAAGACCACTCAATGAGGAGATGATAAGTACATCAAAGAATGATGTTCGCTACCTTCTTAACATTCAGCAGAGGATGCTTGCTAATATGAACCCAAAATCCTTGTCCCTAATCTCTTTTCGAGGGAAACTTCATTGCCTCTGCTACTGCATTGATTCTCTTCCACCACTACCAACAATAACAGGTTTGTTGCTATTGTTTGATTATGGTTATCTGTTTTATATAAACTCTTTCTAATTAAGTTTTAACTTATATAGGATTAGGAGCTGCTGTTGGTGGGTTCGCCAATGATGAAATCATCGAAGATGTTCAGAAAAAAGCGAGTCATATTTCAGGATATAAGGAAACAATGCCAAGCTTACATTTTCACTTGCCAACACAATCTAACTGATAAGGTGAGTTCCAATAATGAATGCCATACTATACAAAAACTTTACAAGGGATTTGAGTGTGATCCAAGAATATAACACCACTGATTTCCTCTGCAGGTTGTGATCATTGGATCAAGGAATCACATGTTTACAGTAGAAGCAGTCATAAGAGGAAGAATTCCCCGCTAGCTACCAGCAACTGCCCATCGTCTTGTTGACTGACTTTACATCCATATCAGTCTCATCGTACTAGTCTTTGAATCTGTAGTTGTTGCTGTCTCCTAAGTCTTCAGTATCTAGTCCACCACTGAAGACCCCGCACACTTGTAGTTACTGCTGCAAATTGGGAGGGGGGGGGGGGGTTAGTGAGAATATTGGATTAGCCCTTTAATTGCACCCACTATTCATAATTATCCAAATGAGGGCAAATGTTTTGGAAAATGCATTACCCCCACCCCCCCACAACTTGCTCCCCTCCCCATTAAAAGACCACTCAATGAGGAGATGATAAGTACATCAAAGAATGATGTTCGCTACCTTCTCCACATTCAGGAGAGGATGCTTGCTAATATGAACCCAAAATCCTTGTCCCTAATCTCTTTTCGAGGGAAACTTCACTGCCTCTGCTACTGCATTGATTCTCTTCCACCACTACCAACAATAACAGGTTTGTTGCTATTGTTTGATTATGGTTATCTGTTTTATATAAACTCTTTCTAATTAAGTTTTAACTTATATAGGATTAGGAGCTGCTGTTGGTGGGTTCGCCAATGATGAAATCATCGAAGATGTTCAGAAAAAAGCGAGTCATATTTCAGGATATAAGGAAACAATGCCAAGCTTACATTTTCACTTGCCAACACAATCTAACTGATAAGGTGAGTTCCAATAATGAATGCCATACTATACAAAAACTTTAGAAGGGATTTGAGTGTGATCCAAGAATATAACACCACTGATTTCCTCTGCAGGTTGTGATCATTGGATCAAGGAATCACATGTTTACAGTAGAAGCAGTCATAAGAGGAAGAATTCCCCGCTAGCTACCAGCAACTGCCGATCGTCTTGTTGACTGACTTTACATCCATATCAGTCTCATCGTACTAGTCTTTGAATCTGTAGTTGTTGCTGTCTCCTAAGTCTTCAGTGTCTAGTCCACCACTGAAGACCCTGCACACTTGTAGTTACTGCTGCAAATTGGGAGAGGGGGGGGGGGGTTAGTGAGAATATTGGATTAGCTCTTTAATTGCACCCACTATTCATAATTATCCAAATGAGGGCAAATGCTTTGGAAAATGCATTACCCCCACCCCCCCACAACTTGCTCCCCTCCCCATTAAAAGACCACTCAATGAGGAGATGATAAGTACATCAAAGAATGATGTTCGCTACCTTCTCCACATTCAGGAGAGGATGCTTGCTAATATGAACCCAAAATCCTTGTACCTAATCTCTTTTCGAGGGAAACTTCATTGTCTCTGGTACTGCATTGATTCTCTTCCGCCACTACCTACATTAACAAGTTTGTTGCTACTGTTTGATTATGGTTAGCTGCTTTATAGAACTCTTTCTAATTAATTTTAACTTATATAGGATTAGGAGTTGCTGCCAGTGAGTTTGCCAATGATGAAATCATCGAAATTGTCAATTTCCCGCAAGAAAAGATGGGATCGTTGTTCGGAAAAAAGGGAGTCATATTTCAGGATATAAGGAAACAGTGCCAAGCTTACATTTTCACTTGCCAACACAGTCTGACTGATAAGGTGAGTTCCAATAATGAATGTCATAATATACAAAAAATTTACAAGGAATTTGAGTGTGATCCAAGACTATAACACCATTGATTTCCTCTGTAGGTTGTGATCATTGGATCAAGGAATCACGTGCTTACAGCAACAGCAGTCGTAAGAGGAAGAATTCACCATAGCTACCAGCAACTGCCCATTGTCTTGTTGATTGACTTTACATCAATTCAGTCTCATCGTACCAATCTTTGACTCTGTAGCTGTTGCTGTCTCCCAAGTCGTCAGTATCTGGTCCACCACTAAAGACCTCGCACACTTGTAGTTACTGCTGCAATTGGCAAAGAGGAATACTAACATTATCTAAGGATGGTTAGGGGAAAATATTTTGTAAAAAAAAAAAGTAGTCACAGCTAAGCTTGTCTATCAAAAGCTACAGTCCTTTAGAAGTAAACCATTCGCCTGTTACAGGGTAAGGTCAAGGAAACTGAGGCTGACATTAGGTTAAGCATTTCCGAGGTGTTTACTGCTCTACATTATCAGAGTTCTAAAAACGGAACGATGTAACACTTCCTCCGTTCCCCCATGTCCACTGAAATTCCCCCACCACCGATAAGATACAGGCGAAATTCGACGGCAGCTTCACCTGGTTCTTTCTCGCCGGCAGCTCGAACAGCGGAAGTAGTTGAGACGCGAGCGCATCGGTTGGAGCAGATGGACAACGAACGACTTGGTGGCACGCACGAGAGCATCGGCTGGAGAAGAGAGCTTCTGCGAGAGCACCGGCGAACTACGACCACTTTCACTTTCACCCCTTCTTCTCCCTCTGTTCAGTCAATCGAGATAAGAATTCCCTCCACCCCCACCCGTAAAGCCCCTCAATAGACAATAATCATTAAAAATGAATTGGGTTCATTTTAGACAGTAATAATACCTTACCAGTTACCACTCAAATCCACAATTCCAATACATTCGATTAACCACCGAGAAGATGGGTAGTAGCAGCAGAGTAGATAAGTGCTAAATTTGTCGCATCTTACTATAATAAACGATCGATCACCATCCTATGCTCGCCGTCTCGTCTGCTCAAACCTTGTCCAACCGGCTCCGAGGACATGCTGGGTGCAGCCGGAGTTTCTAGGCTGAATTCGTCAACGATCCCCCAATGTTGTTCGTCGCGTCTCACTGTCGGGTGCTAGCCATCTCCCCCACTGAAGCTTGCTCCATGCGCCACGAATGAAAAGCTGGGTGACGTCAGAAGTTGATGGGCCCCAAATTCTTTAACCTTACGGTGGCGGGTAATTGAGGAAGACGAAAAGGTTCTACTGTCGAAGATAATAGTGATCGATTTAGGACAGGTTTAATTTTTAATTAATTGAGTTGGATAACGAAATTAGGAGTAAATTACGGGTATTCAAGTCATTTTCTAGTCCAGAATCACTAATTGAAAATTGGATGAAGGGTATATTTGTTACGTTTTAATATGAGAAGGGTATATTCTTGCAAAAAATTAATAAAGGGGCACGCTTGTTAATTTGTGATAATAGAGGGGTACAAAATGCTATTAACCCTTTGTTAATTTATAAATACTAGCACTGGCCCCGGCATGTTGGCCGGGAAAGGTTAGACAAAAAATATGTACATATAATATGCGGAAAATATAATAATAAGATTGGAAATACGTTTGAAATACAATTTTTCAACGATGAAAAAACCATATATAATTGGTTTTTGCTACTTAAGAAGGCCATATAGTTCAAGATTATTAGAGTTGCTTATCCTAAAACATACACAATGAACACTCAGAAGGACGAAAAAGATTGGTCTATAAGAGAGTTTAGTAGCTCTATATAGTGTTTATCCCCGTAGTCATCATTTTTGTTGATCACAACACGTGCAATCGATTGGAATTTGTGTGATTTGAAATATACCGTACATGATGCAAAATTGTCACTTATAGTGAGTTGAATAAAGTACTGCGTGCAGCTGAATTCCCGTATGGCTTTCATGTCGCGGATATGGCCAGAAACAATGTAGTAGTTTCCCTACAAAAGTTAGATTTTGAGTAAAGTAAGTTGAAACAATGAACATGTATGATTAGTAGGAAGTCGTGAAGAGATGGTGATAAAGAAAATGAAATTTGGAAAACTCCTTACCATCAATTGTCCACGAATCGCATACAGTTAGGTCTACAAGTGAACACATTTTTGCGCGGTCTTTGGCTTCTTCATAGGAGTCCCCTTTAATGATGTATTTGACTTTTCTTAGTATGGCATAAGAAATTAAATATAGCGAATTTATTTTTTATAGCTGTGTGCAAGTATATGACTTCTTTGCATAAGAAAATTTACTCACGGGTTGAGAAATGGGTGCAAAAAAGGCTGATTCAAATTGAAAAATAACTTGATTGTTCAGGATGCTGCAAAGTAATACTGGCCTAACAATGATGACGTAACTTAGTGAAGAAAAGAAGGTGTTCTTATAGGGACAGAAACATAAAGCAAATTGTGTAGCAGCAAAATAAACCCGTATAGCAAGAATACCACTTATTATCTCCACATATAGTAAAATAAGTACACATACCACCATTGATTGCTTCAAATGCATGAATTAAGGATCCATTTAGTATCACCCGGATGACGGCTCCCCTAAAATGTATGAGGAAATAAAGTGATTTGGCTAGAGCATGTGCAATATGCAAGTTACATCAAATAACAATAAAAGTTAGAGGACTCACTGTAGCAGTTTTAGGTACATAGTTTTTGTCTTTTCACAGAGTGGTCCATCAAATAATTCTACGTTGGTTCCGTATGGTAAACTTCACCAACTAAATCTAGTATGAGAATCATAATTCATACGTACAACATTGGATGAGAAAGCCGCACGTGATGAGCTAAGATAAATGGATGAATTGTTGGAATAATAACCATCTTTCATACGGGAATAAACAAAAAAATGTCCACTATATAAGCATTGGGCTAGGTCATGATTAATGGTCTGAGTGGAACAGCAAAGGAAATTGAATTTTTTTAACATGTGTTCTCCAAATAAATGACCAAACAGACCAAACTTTTTTATGAGCACTAGCAGTGGGCCCCGCCCGTTGGCCGTGGGAGTTTCAAATGGAAAATGACATTCATATAATTGATAGAATAGATGCTCAACAATGCATATAACTTGTCATTGTAACTTAGTTATGATAGCGGTTTAATTATACATAATGTGCATACAATAAAATAAGAAGAGAAAAATATGATGTAAGAAATAAATATAATTATTCGATGAAAAAAATAAGTAATTGTCTTTCACTTCTTAAGTAGGCCATATAGTTTAATATTGGTGTTGCTTCCCATAGTACAAACATAATCAATCATAAGGACGAAAGAAAATGATTGGTCTCTAATGAGTTCAATATATCTCAGTAGTGTTTATCCCAATATAATATCATCCTTCTTAATCACAGCACAGGCAATGGACATGAAGTTGGAGGATTTGAAATATATCGGACATGAAACAAAGTTGTAACCAATTGTTAGTAGAATAATATATTGTGTACTGGTGAATTCCCAAATTACTCTCTTACTGTAGATATGACCAACGACAATATAGTAATAATTTCTCTACAAACAATTTTTTTAATTACATGAAATAAAATAAAAGAGATGTATGAACATAAGATTACATCCAAGATAGGTCAATACAAAAATATAGAATTGCAAATCTCTCACAGTGGGCTGAAGGAGATAATCAAAGTGAAATTAGGTCTACAATTGAACAAATTTGTGCACGCTGTTTGGCAACTTCATAGTAGTCTTGTTTAATGATTTTTTTTTGTTTCCTTAGTCTGTCATAAATAATGATATATAGAGAAGTTAATTATGTTTAACCATTACCATGTATATATTTACTTTGCATAATAAATTATACTCAACATCCGATAACAATGACCAATTCCGCTCCCACAGTTTGCCAATTTCTGAAACCTGGCAAAGACGGATTTTGGTGACAAATAAAGCTCTGATCTTTTTACCGGACGCCCAAACAGATGCTTCAACCAAGCAGCCCATTCATTATCTTCAGCTACAAACCCATGAGCATAACACGCCTCCTTAAAGGACTTATACAAAACTCAATTCACTATCTTGATGTCCTGAAAACTGGTTGGACCCCGAACAATTTGTAGAAGCATCCGCAAGTAGAACCCATAATTTGTTGGTGAAGGATGATAGTAATATAATAAATTCATCCATAATTTAGATTTCCTCTTGTGCCACTCCCGCTTTGTTTTATTCTAAACATAATGTTGAGGAAAATCTACAAAAGTATGTTTCCTGACTTATGAAGATAACTGATTCATTTTCATGCATCCCAACAACATAGAGGTCTGAGCACGTTTAGACCGAAGCATTCATTGAGGGTTTGAGTATTGATTTGAGATAACAACATTCTGGGCAGGAAGATGATAAGACATACACAATACTGATGGGTATTGTGAGTATACATCAAACTTAAATAACCTCTAGCACGCTTCACCAGATGTTTTGTAACGACAATCTAAATATTTTTTTATCTCATCAATATGTGGGATAGGATGGAACGCGTCCTTTCAGTGATTTGGTTGGAAAGTAATGAAGCATTTGCTCAATCTTGTGATTTATTAATATACTTGAACAAATATATGATTATCCTGCATATGAACAACATATAAACCACCAAAAATGAAAAATAGGGAAAGTAAATATATTGTATGTTGAAATTTGTGGAAAAATGCTTCTACCAATTACAAAATGAAAGAAAATGGGGAAAACAGAAATTTTGGACTCTGAACCACAACAAAAGCTTAAGCTAGACATGGATTAAATATGAAAAGTGTATGGACATACTTCATGGACGTTATCTTATGCAGTTTGTCAATTCTAAATACCGGAGCTACAATTAGGTAATAAACAGATCAATTACTATCGTGGCTGTAAAAAATGTTGCGGGCAAATCACAGAAAAATAGGAAGAAAGCACCACATGGGCCGCATGTCGCATTCCATTCTTGTATTATAATTAATTATACAAACTACAAAAAAATCAATGGGAAAATGTTTAGTACACACCAACCTTCTATGTAAGGAACATTACGACCCAGAGCACCATATGGACCATATAATATAAACGACGTTATATCTCGATGACCTTCTGGATCAAGATCACAGTTGGGTATTTCCGCCGATATTACAAAATTATTTTCCTTCGCCCACTTAATTTATATTCCGAAGTTAGGAACACTAAGAAAGGGAGGTCCCGAAACTCAATTTCCATGAAATCTAAAACAACAAAAGATAATAAGATATACATATGGTTATGTAAAATAAAAATAACCCTCCATAACATCAATATATTTTTTTTAATAATAGATAACTTATATTACCAAAACGAATAAATAGCACTATTTACATCTCAAGAAAAAACCAACGTTCAAAATCAAAACTCTCCACACTCGCAGGCAATAAAGAAAGGGTCTTCCTGACCACCTCATGAGCCCCCGATTGTTACTCTTGCCAACAAAAGCAATGTCAAATCTTTGAAAGCCCCCGATCCATTCGAGGAATCCACGGTCGTGGGATTGAGGCACTAGACTGTGGATTTTTCTAGTTTGGTCTCTTGTTCCCGTCTGCTCTCCACTTGCACCGAGACTTGCTCCTCAGCCTCCATTCACGTGCTAGGACCTGAAACATCATCGACAAGCACAAGCTAGCATTAAA